TAAAGCATATTTTTTTATTGATTTTTATGTTATTATATTTTAAAAAGTGTCCACAATATTCTGGGAGGCCACTGTAAATTAATATTAGATTTTATCTTTTTATTATAAATAAAATAATCTTCTTCAATGATCATTGATTAATAACTATCACTTTATATTATATCTTATATTTTTGAAACTAATTCTTCTAGACTAAGATTTATTTTCAAAACTATAAGAATATCTTTAGTAAAAGTTATATGAGAAGTAGTATTATTGAAGACAAATATACTCTGTGTAGTAACAATAGGATTGTAAAAGTTGAGATTAATAGCAAAATAAAGATTTTTATAGCAAAAAACTTAAGAAAATTTAGACAAGCAACAAATAATGAGAAGCAGATAGCAGGAAGCAAATAGTAAGAGGCAGATAATAGAGATAGATTTTTTAAAAAAATCAGAGATAAATTCTCTTTAAATAAAAATAATTTTATTATTTAAACAAATAATAAAAACTTTAAGATATAATAGTATATTATTATTATAATCATGCATCATTATTTTAATAATATATTATTATTTTTAAATATATGGTTAAAATATAATTTATCATAAATATAAAACAAATCTGACATAAATATTAGAACTGCAATTTTTTATATAATCTTATTCTCTGTTTTAACTATTATTCTTATTCAGATTACACTTTAACTGTTCTCTTATTATAATATATTATTATTAATAATATATAATTTATATATAATCATATATTTATATATATATTTATGTAATATATGATTACATATATAAATTATGTGTTATATATATAAAAAAAGAAACAGAATTTATTTTAATCTGAATTTATTTTAATTTGTTATACTAATTAATTATAATTAAAAAAATCTTTTTATAATTATATCTCTTTTTAATTATTTAATTTTCTTTTTTAAGTATAATAATTATAAAGAAATATAATTATATTTATTATATATATTATAAATTATTAATTATAATTTAATTAATTCTATATTATATAATTAAATTTATATATTAATTATATATTTATTTCTTAATTTATATATTTATATTTTAGTTTATAAATTTATTTTTTGAAATATAAAATTATATTTTAAATATAGTTAAATCTTTTTATAATTCTTATACTTGAAAAAGTAAAATTATATAATATAAAGAGATTTTTTTAATTATAATTAATTAATAACTGAAAAACTTAAAAAAGATAATTATAAAGAGATATAATTATAGAAAAATTAATTATATTTTTTAGATATTTTTATAATATATAATTTTATATTTAAAAATACTTTTATCTTATAAATAAAAAGTAAAAAATTTTAGTCTTGAATATTTTCTTAAATAATTTAATTTAAGATTTAATTTAGTTTTAATTTTATTTTATATTATATATTTTATATAATTTATTATAAAGTATTAAAAGTTAAAGATAGTAATAATAAAAAAATATAATAATAAAGAATTATTATTAATAAATTTATCTTAAATCTTATTTATTTTTAAGAATTATCTTTATAATTTATATTACTTAATATAAAAATCTTATACTTAAAAATTTTTTACTATATTATAAAATAATATTTAAAGAATTAATAATAATAATATTTTTTTTAGTTTTAATTTTTCTTTTACTTTTTTAATTTAATATTCTTTAAGAAATTTATTTTTATATTATTTTTAAATATATAATTTTTTTATTAGTAAATATTTTTATTTTAATACAAAATTTTTATTTATTTCATTATTTCAATTTGATAATTTTATAATTAAAAGTTATTATATTCTTCTTATTTATTCATATTATTTATTTTATAAATGATCTTGAAATCTTTAAATTTTATATAATAAAATTTCTTTTTTTTATATTTTTCATGTCAAATACTAATCTATTAGCCAATTTTATTTCTTGTTCAGACAGATTATCTTTTATTATATCTAATTTAATTTTTTTATTTTATAATAAAATCTGTTTCTTAATTTGTTTTTCATTTAATTCTTGATTTTAAAAATATATTAATTTTTTATAACTATTTATTTTTTTAATTACAATTAATCTTTTGTATTCTTTAATTTTTTAACTAATGACTTGCTGAATAAAAAAAACTATTATTTAGCAGATCTTATTGCTAAAAATTTATTAACATATCTATTATAATATCAATTACCAATTCAAACTTCGATTGAATTGTCTAACCAATCTCTGAAATTGCTGGCTCCTATTATAAAGATAATTCTTGATCACAATACTTACAATGTTAATATTTTTGTAGGCTCTTCATGAACTACTCAATTAACATATAATTTGAATAGATCAATATACAAAGAAATGTGTATTTTATTATGCTTAATATACGACAGTGATTAAAATTGACAGATTAGATGTTAATTTATTAAATAATGTATATCGATATGCAAGTCTATATAACGAATTAATAGCACAATGTATAGCAAGTACAATGCATAGAGTACAGGCCATACTCATCATACTTTGATTTTGGACTTTCGGTGCCATGTTGTACATATAGAAGAATTAAATAAGAATGGTGATCTATAAGAAAGCCTAATAATATTTTTTCTTGATCATTCATAGAAATGCCATCCATTGATTTTTTGAAGCATCGACTTTTCCATAGTGACGAATTCATTAACGTCGATAACACCCAAAGAATCAATTACCCCGACGCCTGGACCACCAACCAAAGTCTCAAAACAATCAAATCCCAATTCCGATACCTCGATTTTTACGCGTTTTATGACTTCATTTAGGACATCTGTGCAAAAATAATAGCATGTTTCATTATCAAGTTTATATTTAGTTGACACAGAAGGTAAAGAAATAATCAATTAATTTTACCATCATGTAGCAAAGTAAGTGCACATCCACCACCACCAGCTCCAGTAAGTTTTGAATGCAAACCGTGGCGTGCGGTAATTTCTCGTATTTTATCAAGTGCCAAATGACCAACACCCAAAGAGTTTAAGAGGTGATGATTTAAATCGATTAGGTCCTATTTTTGAATTTGGCAATTTTTAGTGATGATATAACGATACTATTGAGATATAAATTAATTTAGCCATACCTGAAATTTTTCAAGAAAGGTATTATCGCTAACTTTTTATATAATAAAGGTTCAAGTTAATAAAATAAGGATGAGCTATTGTTTTATAGTATAATTGAATTATATTTACCGTGATCTTTTAAAAGATTTACAAAATACAAACTAATATTTTGAATAGCATCCAAGATTGGATTAACGATATCAGGATACTATATATAGAAGCATTAATATTTTATTGCTAATAAATTATTAATCAAAAGTTTAATTTGCATACCTTTTCAAGTTTAACTCTAACATTTGCAACCAAAGTTCGCGTGTCACGTGGGATTTTAGTGTCTATAAGAAGAAAACGGGTTGACTGGAATCTAGATCTAAATGTTAACATAATGAAAAATAATAGATGCTATCAATTTGTTAGATATATATAAATATACCCTTTTAGATTTTCAATCATAAGATGTCCCGAGGATCCCTTTGTGAATTTTAAGACACCACCTGAATTAGAGAGTTAAAAAAGTCAAAAAATAAGTTAATAACTTAAATAAATAAATATAAAAAGGCTTACCAAAGGTGGCTACAGTATTATCGACGCCGGATGGAGTCCCATGGAGAACTGTTTCCGCTTGGAATGCCCAGTGATTAATTGATTCGGCAATGCTACGATTATCATTAGTGTTTGAGATATCAATAAATCCAAAAGATAATAATAAGCCAGTCGCGAGACACACAGAATATGAAGCCGAAGAGCCGAGACCCGCACCAACCGGTAGTGTTGATCTTACGCGAATTGTTAGGCCAAATCTTTAAATTTGGTTTAATAAAATATTAAGAGCTTTTCAAAATTAATATGAAAACTATAAATCTAAAGTGATAACAAAATTCACCATACTGTTCTTGTTTTTGCTCTGTTTCCGCAATATGGAGCAGAGTCAAATATAGATAAAGAAATGCAGAGACAGCTGCTTGCTGCTGTTGAATTTTAATTAACGAATTGCCTTCAACATTTTTATTAATCTTATCGATTGTAAAAAATTTTACTTTTTCATAAAGTATTTGATTAAAGGAACCTATTTTTATATGTCGAATTGAGACTCGACAATTAGAGATCAAGTCGAAAGAGAGTATTATTATTATTATTATAATTAATACATTTTTAACACCTTTTTCCTGTTGGTTTTTAGCAGCAAATTCAAAGGTAAGTTCTGACTTTTTCCAACTAAAAGGTTCAGTGGCACCAAGTTCCGGCAAATACAGTTCTAAGAGCTCTTCCTCACGCGTTTCTAAATATAAATAGGAACGAAGTCCAACACTACTTGCAACTGCACTCTAAGAAAAAGATACATTTTATTAAGGTGGTTGGTTGGTTGTCCACACCAACAGTTTACTCAATAAATAATATTGACCCCATTATATAGTACCAACCTTTCCAAAAACTACAGCATGTTCTCCAAATAGAATGACTTTACCCGGCGCAGAAACAAGGAACTTTCGGTTTATCTTATGTGGTGGCTTATTTGTTACAGAAGAGGACATTTTAATTCTTGTTTAACGCCATGAATAAAATCTTGCTAAATAACGATAAAATAGAAATCACGAAAATCAGGAATCTGGATTTACAGTTTATTTAAGTTGATATAATCGATAACGTTCAAAACAATAAAATACAGAGATTAACAAACTCAAAAATTAATTTATCAATATCAACAAGAGCTTTGACAATTAAACAAAATTAAGACGTTATTTCTTTTCAGCTTCAGCTGCCGGTTTTGCAAGTAACTTTTCAACTTTGAATGATTCTGGACGATCATCACGTCCAGGTCCTAAAAAAGTACAATTGAATAAATAGAAATTCACGTAAGAGAAAATTATTATCGATGAATATCTCACCAGTCTGCTCCCATGGAGATGCTGCGCCTTCAAAATTTCTAAATGCTTGAGTCATTTCCAACGGTTCTACTATCACTCTTTTAACTTCATCATCGTATCTTACTTCCACGTAACCAGTCAACGGAAAATCTTTTCGCATTGGATGCCCTTCAAACCCATAATCTGTCAAAATCCTTCTTAAATCCGGATGTCCCGAGAAAAAAATGCCATACATGTCATATGCTTCCCGTTCAAACCAATTAGCCCCACTATATAAAGGGACAATTGATGGCACCGGTTTTACTTCGTCTGTGTACGTTTTTACACGTATTCGCTCATTATACCTTAGACTCAATAGGTTATATACAACTTCAAATCTATTTTCGCGTGTTGGGTAATCGACACCACATATATCTTGTACCTGTTTATATTGTGCCGCGGTGTGATCACGTAAGAAGGTTATGACAGGAATTATGGCACTTGGAGCCACATAGATTGTTAATTCATCTTTATAGACGGAATATTGTTGAATGTACTTTGGGAGAACGGACAATAAATATTTTCCATATTCTGAGAGTTCTTCGATTTTCTTGGCATATGATTTTGTTGAGCCAAAGACGGGATTATTTGGCTTTTCGGAGGCTGATGAAGAGAGAGCAAAGTTTTAGATTGAATGAAATAATTGATCATTTCAAGGGTATAAGTAAATCAAGAGCATATATATACCTTGAAAATGAATTGGTGTCGAATGAAAAGCTGATTTATGTGCAAGTTTGGGGTTCAAATATCCATTGCTTGCTCTAGTCAACAAAGCAACTTTATTATACCAAAGCTCACCATATCAATACGCCTATTTATAAGACAAGTTCAGCATAAACCCTTTTATGCAATGATAATATTACCATTACTTTTCCAAGAAACGTTCTTTACGACAGAAGTTCGAAATGCTGAAAATACCGAAGCCATTCGTGAAAGTTAAACACGATTGCTTTTTTCAATCTCTGATTCCATTTACATTAAATCACATGATAAATCGAAATTTTCTAGGATTGGTTGTATACCTATACATTCTGAATTGGCGTTAAACATTTGATTGGCTAGCATTAAGTTATCTAATGTATGTGGCATTAATATATACCGTAATTCGCCGCATAAACCACTTGGGGTCTTGCATTTTATCAAAAAAACTGTTAATAAGAAAAGGGGATGAAAGGGTTGGGGGTAGTTTTTATGCGGCGAATTACGGTACATATTATTTAAATTTGGCACTTTCTAAACGGATATCGATATCTTTGCTGCATAAATAACGAGTTTTACTATTAATTTTCTTTTACATATTATTCAGTGTCTGATAATTCTAATGTTTATGATACAAGAACAAACCAACAAAAATTTTAGAGTATGGGGTAGGTGAAAAATTGACCAAAAAATGGTTTAAAAGGAGAATTGTCCAATTGCGAAAAAACCTAACTCCAGAGAAACCCAAACCCTTCTTTGTTTATCATCCATTCAATTGTTTATAGAGAGAGAGCATACTAAAGATGACAAATAATAAATAGGACTCGCGACAAAAAAATTTTTTCAAAGTTTAATCGTTCATACTTACCTCTGTCTGTATTTGCTTGTGAATATAACATAAATAGTCAACATATGACATTGCAAAGTTATTTTCATCTTCTACCAGAAGATTGTTAAACTCGATTTCTGCGGGATCTATTTGCATTCGTGCAATAGTCAATTGCAGATATTTAGACCTTTGTGATTGAAGATATGAAATAATTGTGCGAATTTGTATCGATGTTTGATTGTCAAGCTCAGGCATTGAAGACTAAGTAAATAATTGAGAAATTATATGATTAAATAAAAGAATGAAAGCGATCACAAACGATGAGGACGTGCTTACAGTTTTTGGATCAATGAAATCGATGGAATCAACGCCAAAAACGTTTTTCACAAATTCAGGCGAAATTTGACGGCCTATCCAGAAGATTAAGGTTTGACCATTTTCTAAGGATAATTTAAAAGAAATGAAGTTTATAAAATATATCAAAAGAAAATATAAAAAGAATCAAATAAATACCTAACAAATATGCTCCTCCTGACTCTAATCTCGAAATTGATACACGTATCGATGGTGGTAATTTAACTCGTCCATGTTCGTCCGGATAACCAATCTGGTGTCAAATTAATTTGTTAATTTTCACATTCAATATTCTGATCGCGATAATTAAATATCATTATATATTCTAGGTGAAGTACAATAGCGACAAAAGACATCATATTATTTATCATATACGAACCTTTTCTGGGAGATTATGAACCGGAAACATTCGTGGATAAAATAACACTATACTTTCTGCTACACCAATACTTTTTATCAGTCGCATAAAATGTACACGAATATCGCTTGTAAGATTTCCGCCTTATTAAAAAAAAGATTAATCACTTGGATAAATTGCTCGGAAATTTAGTAAATAAAAGAATACACACCACCACGTAGCGCCTTTGATTTTAGCATTGTTAATGTATATAATGGGAACAACTTAAAGGCTTCAGGTAGAATAAGCTGTCCAGCTGAGCTAGCCGATGCACAATGTCTTCGATATGACATCAGTATTTTAACACATTTATCGGTTAGCTGATCACGGATTTCGCGTAAAGGTTTTGTTACAGTGTTCGATACGGCTATTAGGCGAATAAATAATAGTGAATTAATAAAGCGAAACAGAAGAATAAAAAAAACTACGCAGCAATTAAATTGACTTTTACCTTGTTTTGCCAGAAAATTAACAGTTGTGTCCATGTCAGCGTGCCTGAATACGTTACCGAGTAAAGTTGTAACCGGTATGCTAAGATTGTGTGTTCTTACTCTCCGTTCGCCTGTCGATGTTGTGTATAAAAGAGCGCATTGGATGAAGGCATCCGATTTCTCGTCTAGTTTACCATCATATTTTAGTAGTGCACCGAATGCTTTGTCGCTATCAATACCAGCAAGTTCAAGATCAGTGGAATTTCGCATATTAAAATTGCCATAGTGATCGTCAACTTTCAGCCCTATAAATTAATGTGCAAATTAAAGTAAATCGCAAAAAATTATGAGTAGTATCCTTAATAGAGGTATACTTACCATTGGAACATCTTATCCTCATTAACGCATTATATCCGAATTCTCTTGTAATATTGTGTTTGAGTTCATTGGCAAATTTTTTCCCATCTTTTTCAGCATCAAAATTAGGGTAGAAATATGTTTCACCTCCAGTCAAGGAAGATAAAAGCCCTGAATTAATTTAAAGATCGAGTATAAATATATTAACAAATTTTATCGAGAAAATGAGCGAAAAAAATGGAATCATATTGTACCTATTGTTGCCACATCTATGTAAGTGATAGGAAACAAGAACAAATCAATCGCAATACCAGCATCTACACAATCAATAGCGAGATTCTTGTAATATCCATCTTGAGGACCAAATAATGTTTTTTCCTTCTCAGTATTATATAATTTAGGATCATCACGATGCCTTATTGCTCCTGGTCCAGAAATTGGAAGAGATGTTTGGAAAACCAAAACTTTTCCTCCTGTTTCATTCTAAGGATAAAATTATAATTAATAATAAAAATTGAAAAATTCACAAAAAATTACTATTCTTTTATCTCATACCAGAGCAGCTAGAGAAGCTTTGACAACAGATCCTAGTACTGATTCGCTTGTTTTATTTTCGGCAAACATGGTTGGCAAAGAATTTAGCAGCCCTTTTATCACTTCTCTTTATAAATTACAATCACAACGTTAATCATAAAATCTTGATTTAAAAGATAAAAATGAAGTGAATCGAAAATTTACCTTGATTCTATAGGATCAACCAATAGTCCAGAATGAAGAGGCACAAACACATCATTAATGTCCGGTACAACCAACATTTGGGCTTGCTCAATAGTTGACTAAATAAACAATGATTATTATAGAATATATCTTTTAAATCATAATAGACATATAGATTATTTACCGTAAGATTGTAAAAATGTATATCCTTATCAAATGTAATTATGCCAATCTTGCCACCTTGTGGAATACTATTGGGAGTATTGTACAAGATATCTTGAATGGCTTCAACGCATTTAACAAGCATACCACTTTTAATGGCATTCCATGAGACATCGATGGCAAATATATGAGAAACAGGTGAAGGAGGTCTTGCCCAGTATTCCTGTTTACAGAAATTATGATATATCAACTCAATTCATATCAAATAAAATCTTTATGTTCGATGATTTAATTACTTTTGGTGCTGTAAACTCGACTGTTCCGAATTTTAATTCAGGTCGTTGATCTAAATCAGCTCGTCTTCCACTCATATCCAAATTACAAAAGTATTCAGGAGGAACTAGTTATGAAAAATACTGAATTAACCAAAAAAAATAAAATAAAATGAAAATATCCACAATAATAAACTTCGAAACAACCTTCATTAGAAAATTGACACATATTGCAAATGTAACGCTGTCCACCGTCAAGAAATATCACCCACGGGTTGATATAAGATTTGCAGCGTCTACAACGTACTGGTCCATTTTCTCCAAAATCTACTGTTTGAATTGATGCCTATAGTTAAGCAATACATATTAATAAATAATTATGAAATATAAAATTTCCCGAAAGTGGTAAAAAAAAATAATACTTCGTCATTTCTCAACTTTGCCAGTGGTTGTAAAACAACTCCCAAAGGAAGATGTGATGTTTGAAGTAATTCCTCAGTATTAGGAATTGAATATAATGTTAATCTCATAAAACGTGGATTTGAATTGCCTGTTTTATTTTATTGCGTAGAAATATATAAGTATTGATATTATGACTATGATGAAAATAATTAAAAACTTCATCAATACCTTCATCGATAGCTTTAAAATCTGTGCTCGCAAGCGGTATAGTGGCTGTTTTTGAGCAGGTTAAATAAGGTTGTTCATCAAACACAGTTTGATCATGCTCTTGCACAACTACTGGTGAAGGTATTTGATTTGGATCAATCCTTGCGCGAGGTGCAGACATTGAATTGGGACGAGGCGGTTGTGGTGGTTGCTGTTGCTGTGATGGCTGTGGAGGACCAGGTACTTGCCCAGTTTGCATATATTGAGGAGGCATCATTGTTTGCATCCCTTGACCAGGTGGCGGTGGTTGTTGTATTATTGAATTGTAATTCGGTGATGGTTCTTGACCAGGTTGGTTTATATTGTTGACGGTTGTTGGTGAATACATATTGGGTGGTGCTGGCTGCACATAAGGTTGTGTTGCAGTTGGGGCAGGGTATCCAGAAGTATTGATTTCAGTCGTTAAATGATGATATACACGATTTGGAGGTTTTTTGGGCTTTGAAATTTGCTAAAGGTAATAATCAGAGTTTATTAACAAGAAATTCATGCATAGTTTTTTATATCTCGATTTCGATTTTTGTTAAATCCCTACATCATATTGTGAAGAACCTTGATTTATGGATAAAGTTTCCATTTGATTCACTACATTATCCACGTTAATATTATCTGGGGATGGCAATGGTCGAACGTTGCCAGGCGGAACCGGCGGTCTAGTAGGAGGATATTGTAAAGGTTGAGACGAATTTGGAACAATTGTCTGTTGCGGCTGCTGTTGATATCCAGCATTTAAAGCAGAATTATTTGATGTCAGAGGTGGTCTTTGACTTGTGAGTTGAGGTGGTGCTGCAGTGCCAGGAGGTGGGGTCTGACCAGGTGGTACAGGTGGCCTCATGCCTTGAAAAAAATTAATTCAAAGAAAATTTTTTCTTAGAGACGCGATACAGTATCTATTTACTATTTATTTGCCCAATATGTGAATTCGTAATTCAAAACCAAAGCCAAAACAAGAGTACCTGCAGGCGTCGGTGGTCGTTGAAAAGGTACTGGCTGTCCATTTACAGGGCGTTGTCCCGGTGGAAATGTAGGCCTTATTACACCAGCTGGACCTTGAAATGGTGGACGAGGAGCACCAGGCCGCCAGCCTGGAGGTGGTTGAGGTGGTTGTGCAGGTTGTGCAGTGCCTACGCGATATGTTGTTAAAGGTTGCTGTTGTTGATTTGGGTTTACTGCAGGTCGTTGTTGCGTTTGTTGTTGGGGAGGCGGTGGTGGTTGAGCATACATTATTTGATATAAAAATGTAATGTTTTTTATCAAACGCTTAAGTGTTGTGTCTCTATCGCTGTAAAATTCTTTCCTTTACTGCTTTCAAGGAAGTAATTATTAACCAATAAATTAGTTGGCTAGCAATTTTTTCAGACAATTTTTATATAGTTTGACTACCACTCGTCCATTTTCTATTGGGCGAACAGAAATCAGATAATTATCGTAAAGATCTTTATTTATTTAGCTGATCGAAGAATTTTTTTGTGTTAGTCGAACTAAGATTTCTGCGTTCATTCAATTCCAATACTAATTTATTGTCATTCTAGAAATGTCGTCAGTCGGGGTAGGTTCTCCATAAAATTTTTCGTTTCTAATGATCACCTACCTATGAGTTAATGAAAGTTTAAACGAATTACTTTGAACTTTACGCACTTTTCTACCGATGTGATTCAAACGAAAAATAACTTCACAGATTCGAAGAAACATATCATTTACTGAAAATATGTTTTTCTATCTTAGAAACTTTACTGTAATCCCCATAACCCTCGACTCTACAAAATTCTCATTGTTGCTGAATACAACAACCTTGAAGTAGACGTACCTGAGTTTGAGTTGGGGGCTCATGACAAATCTCAAGATTTTTTGGAAAAATTTCATCATAGCAAGGTATAATTATCGTTCTATCTTATTTAGGAAGCCGTTAAGAATAGATTATTGCTCACTACAAATTGATCGACACTTATAGGTCCCTGCCTTCGAAAGTACCGATGGCGTTCATTTGAATGAATCTGGAGCGATTGCATACTACTGTAAGTTTAGAAATTCGATTGATTAATGCAAAGAAAATGAATATGATGATATAAATATCTAAACAGTTATCCCTAGCTGATATAAATAAATAATTTGTGATGATCTTTTTCATCTGAAATTCATGTATATATGTCTATCTATGCATGTTATCAAATATAGATCTATTCTATTAATACTAATGAATGCTATTTTAATTAATAACAAATACAAGTGGCTTCGCATAAGGAAGGCACTCAACTATTAGGCAAAGATAAAAAGGAGACGTCACAAGTTATTCATTATGTTCTTTTTGCTGAAAATGAGATCGCACCTCATGTGAATACTTGGGTTAATCCTATTCTCAAAATTACTAATTATAATAAACCAGTAAGTGATTGATAAAATTCAATTATATATCATTATTTAGGTTTTGGTTATTAATATTATTTTGATTTAAGGCTCATTTGCAAGCTGTTGATAGTCTGAAAAAATCATTAGATGTATTGGAAAAGGTGTTGTTGAAAAAAACATACCTTGTGGGAGAACGTATAACGTTAGCAGATATCACCGTGGCCACTGCACTTTATCAAGGCTTCAAACACGTATTAGACGCAGAATTCCGCAAGAACTATAAGAATCTTACACGTTGGTATGTGACACTCGTTAATCAGCCTAGCTTCAAAAAAGTTTTGGGTGAAGTTTCTCTTGTGGAAGTTGCTGAAGTTTATACTCGTGAGTCTTAATATTCTAACTTTAAGACCATTATTGCATTGCATTTATTTAATCTGTTAAATGAAAAATTAATTGATTTTTTTCGCCTTAATTTTTATTTAAATCAGCTCCCAAAAAAGAGGAAAAAAAGAAGGAACCAAAAAAAGAGCAGCCAAAGAAAGAAGCTAAGCCTAAAGAAATAGATGAAGCGGAAGAAGATGACATAAAACCTGAACCTAAACCAAAGAGCAAATTAGATTCTCTTCCACCTAGTAAATTAAATCTTGAGGAATGGAAGCGCTTCTATTCTAATAATAATACTCGTCCGGATGCTATTAATTGGTTCTGGGAACATTATGACCCGGAAGGTTATTCCATCTGGCGTGTAGATTACAAGTATAACTCGGAGCTTCAAAAAATCTATCAAAGTTCAAATCTTATCGGTGGCTTTTATAATCGTCTAGAACGCGCTCGTAAATATGCTTTTGGTAGTTTGCTGGTTCTAGGCGAAGGTACATAAACATATTTAATCTATATAGGCTGCTATATAATGAGATTGTAATATATTATTTTTCTTTAATTTTGTATAGATAATAATAATGAAATTGCCGGTTATTTTGTAATCCGGGGTCAAGAAATACCAGAAGAAGGTACAAACAATTCTTTATTCATTTTTTAGTGTCATACATATTAATAACAATGTTTTATTTCTTCTTGATAGTATCTGATGCTGCTGACTTTGAGAGTTATAACTTCACAAAGGTTGATCATAATGATCCCGCTGTTCGTTCAAGTTTCGAGGATTATTTGGTAAGAATTATTTTGAATTTCTCTTATTTCTCTTTGGATTTTAAGGTTCAGGATAACATTCAAATCATTTGTCTTTACATACTAGGCTTGGGACGGTCATCTTGACGGCAAGAAATATGCAGATGGCAAAGTCTTCAAATAATTGATGAATATACAAATTGTGCGTGTCATGTGATACGTAACTCCTAATCAATAAAGTAATATTTGGGTTATTTATCAATAAGCGCTGTACTACCTACTATATACAGTGATGTTCTTGGCAATAAGAGTCTTATTTTTTGTTTTCTCCCGTTATATATTGTATAAAAACTTATGGAAATTAAAAAGATATATATTTTCTTTCTTTAAGACAAAGCAAACTATCTTTTTTTTAATTTAGAATATTTAAAGTTTTGAACAATTTCTTCAATCTTATACCATGAGTCAATACACCAGGGTGAGATTTAGAGGTTTAGAATTATATGAATAAAAGATCTCGAACATTGTACATAAATGATTGGAGTTTCAAAATTTTTTTTTTGATGTAGGTTCCTAGTCAAGAGGGGCAGGATGATGTTCAGGAAGTCGAGTTGTCCGCTCCGGCGCCAGAATACATAATAGAAAATGAAACAACACCTATGGTTGTCGAACAGCAACCGATTACTACAATCAGTAGCAGTTCTGCAAATAGTAATAGCAATAATAACTCTCAAATCGAAAATGAAAACGTTGATACTGTTAGAGTTTTGAAACTGTCTTCAAGCACCGATGGTGTTTGGTCTAATTTGACAGCTAAACCCGAGAAAGAAACTGAAAAAGAAGAGTTACCTCCGGTAAGTATAACGAGGGGGTGATAATTTGATATTTCTATTTTGAGAGGTATAAAAATAACTCTTGCCTACTAATTTGAAACCGGATTTTTTAATTAATTAAATTAACATTATATTTTTGCATAATAAAAAAGCCTTACGAGACTGCCGCTGCTGATGCAGCTCCACCTTATTGGGAAACTACTATTATTGCACCTGGAATGAGTGGCGATGAGCTTCTTGTTGAAGGACTTCCTGTAGGAAATGTGTTCAGTTTTGTTTGGAATATGCTCGGTAGGCAGATTTTAATTTTTTTTCATCTTATCTTTCATTTATTTTTAACGCTTGATCCTTATTAAAGTATCGATGAGCTTCCAATTTGTTGGCTTTTTGTTGACTTATCTTTTGCATACAAGTCATGCTGCCAAGGTAATTTAACGAAATTTAGAATTTTAATATTTAATAAAAGATCTAATTGAAAGAAATCATATATTTATATATAGAACGGCTCCCGAGCTGGTTTAGGTTTCACATTAGTTCAATATGGATTCTATCTTCGTGGTAGAGCATTACAAGAAGAAGGCTATCAATATTACGGTGAGGAAGATGAGGATAAAGAAATGCTTGCTAGAAGTGCATGGTTAAGGTTAGTCAGAATTATTAACTTTAAAAATAAATATTGTTATTAATCCGATAATTATTGCTACCATTTTTTAGTTATTTACTTATGTTTTTGGGTTGGTTTATTGTAATTCGGAGTTGCTCTGATTATATTCGAGTAAAGAGAATGGAGGCTGTTATGCGCACAACTCCCGAAGAAAATGTGTAATTCTTTATATTTTTATAATACACGCACACGTCCAATATACGTACTCGTATACAGAGAGACATTGAAGGATGGAACAAAGATTTTTATGCTCGGCTTAATTACAATATTTACGATTTGTTATATATATATATTTTTTCTTTTGTAAAACAGTTATTTTTCATTTACAGTGACTTTATCTCTCGTCTTAAATAGAGTACATAATATTACGAGACTAATAAAAAGGACGTATATTTTGCACATATTATATAATATACCTTAATCTAATCTTTGAAATTCAAATCTTAATTTTCATGTTTTTACAGTGAAGCCATTTCTTTAAGAAAAATTGTTCTAATCAGATTTAAAATGCAATACTTGGATAGTTATTGTTATACATTGTTATCAGAGAAAAAATTATAAGTTTATATTTAACAAAATCTTATTATCATTGCAAATCTTTTATTTTTATTATTTTTTTAAATTAATAAATAATATTAATTTTTTTAATTTTTTTAAATAAATATATAGTTTATAAATTAATGAAAATTTTTCTTAATATTAATATAATATTCAGATTATCTTTTATTATATATATATTATTCTGTAAAATATTCAGAGAACTATAAAATTTATTAATAAGAAATATAATAAAAACCTTTTTATATTAAAATTTTATTTTTAGAAATAAATATTTTTATTTTTGTATTAATAAGAATAATAATTTTTATATATAATTTTTTTTATTAAAAATAAATTTAAATATAAAAAGATTTTTTATTATAATTTATTAATAAATTCAGAAGTTATTTGAATTTTTTGTTAAAATTTTAATATTTATTTAAATAATTTAAATAATTAATTCTAATTCTAAAAATTATATATAAATATATAAAAAGAAAAATTAATTAATAAATTAAAAATAATATAAAAAAATCTTATTTTCAAAATATTTTTTTAGAAATATAAATATATTTATTTAATAAAAATTAGAAATTAATAATAATTTATATATATAAAATATAATAAATATTAAAAATAATTTCTTTATATTAAACTTTATAAATTTTTAATAAATATTTTATATTAAAAATAAATTTTTATTTTATTTTAATATAAAAATAAAATATATTAATTAAAAAATAAAAAATTTAAAATTATAATTTAAAATAAAAATTAAATTTAATAAATTCTAATTATATAAAATATTATTTTATAAAATAATAAAAGAAAAATTAATATAAAATTTTTAAATTTTTATAAAAAATTCAAAGAAAAATTCATTTAAATATATTATAGAATATCTTAAAAATAATAATTATTTAAGTAATTAAATTTTTTTAAAATAAAAATTATTCTTCAACTTAAGATATATGAAAAAAAATAATATTATTTAAACTTAAAATTATTATTTATCATCTAATCAAATAATTTAATATTAAAAATTCTAATAATGATAGTATTCATAAATCATAAGATTAATAATATTATTTTAAATTAAAAGATATATTTTCTAAACTAATATAATTAAAAATTAATAATATATAAAATATTAAATTTATAATTTATAATAGAATAAATAATATAAATTCATATTAAAAATTCAATTAAAATTTAAATAAATTTTATAAATAACTAAAGTTATTTACTATAAAGAAAACTTATTTATTATAAATAAAGATAATATAATTTAAAATATATTAAATAAGTATATTTATATATTATATTAAATTATATTATTAAAAATAATAAATATAATAATAATCTTAAAAAAGTTAAAATAATTATTAATTATAAAGTTAATTAGTAAATTAAAAAATATATATTAAATAATATTATAATATTATAATAAAAATATTAATTTAATTCTCTTACTATATAATAAATAATATATTTAATATTATTATAAATCATAAAGAATTTTTATAAACTTTTCAATTTTTTTTATATTATAAAGCAAAATTTTATATTTAACTTGAGAAGAAACTCTTGTAATTTAAATATTAAGTAGTTTAATAATAAGTTAATTAGCTTGATTATAAATTGATTTCTTTTTTCAAGTAGTTTTTTATATTCTATAATTAAAAATATATAATAGCTATCTTTATAAATAAAAAATACTTTATATATTATTAAGTATTTTATAATTAGTAATATTATTATAATTTATAATTACTTATTATTAATCTTTTTTAATTATTATTATAATACTTTTAATAATATTATAACTAATCATTTATTTTTGTGATGCAGTAGATACAACATAATATATAGTATAGTTACAATATATAGCGTAGCAATTACCAATTACTACTAAATTAGATAAACAAGAAATTTATATTAATTAATCTTATTTATAATTAATTCTATTTTTAATTTATATTAT